AAACAATGAGAAGGATTAAGATTGTAACAATATTAATCTCGACAACCTTGGCAACTCCAAGGATTTCGATAGCAATCTTGCTCGGTATTAACTTAAATCTTGTTTCGAAGCGTCTGTATCTAGCTTCAGCTAGCGAGACTTATTGTTAACTAAGTTTACTTTCGTAAACAATTGAATTGTACAAGAAACATACAAACTTTACTAATGTCTACGTGACGTGTACATACTTAAATATTCTGCAAATAGATATTAACTTGATTTACATATATAATATGTAACAATGTGAATCAAGTTAATTATAAAATAGCAATTTGAACGAAGATATAAATGGCTATTGATATTTTAAAAAGTGTTCGTTTGTATAAGCTTTCTTAATTTATGAAAGAATTTAAATCAAAAAAAAAAAAACAATTCTCTCGTTTTATAAAATTAATGTAAATTTGAGAAGAAAAATATTATAATTCATTCAATTTAAGAACAAAAGAGAATCTCTCTCAAGTGAAAAATCTTTAAACTCTATCATTAATTATTACTTCTCAACTTCAATGAGAAGAAAGAAGTATTAAACGATGTACAAAAACTGAATGAGATTGCATAAAGAAAAGCCATATGTCTGAAAGTAACGCAAACGAATTCACTTTCTCAAACGTTTACTTATTAAATTCCTTTCATCGAGTCAAATATTAAAGATTAAAGAAGAAAACACGTTTAATTCTTTACACCATATAAATACTGATAAATGAATAAAGCTTTCTTTCTGATAAACGAGGAGAATCATCTGTGCACAACTCATTCTATTTATTTATTTCGAAAAATTGTCAAAAAGAATACAATATCCATAGAAATCTTTTATTTGTCGCGATTGATTTCTAAGAACAAGATTCGAAAAACGAAATTATTATTATTTAACTCTACTTTCCTCTATTCTACGCATCCCATATTATAAATAAACCGCCATAAATTCAAAGAAATAAAACACGTGTATGTGTGTGTACGTATATGCGCGCGCGTAAATGCATTTTTCACTTTGAAAACAAACTTACACCTGACATAGTTTCCACAAAACGTGATCTATGATCTCGCACGTGTTCCTGCGCGTATTTATCACGTGGCAATGTTAAAGTGGGGAATTGAGGAAAAGCCTAGCCCCTCTGAATAGCTTCATATTTTAGTCAGTCGCGGAAACAACGATAGAGATCTCGCGATTTTTTAACGAATTCGTCGCTTTCGCGCGCGAAAAGCAGAAAATGGCGAGAAGAAGCGAGCGGGTAGGAAGATAGGAGGAGGGCCACGTTCCCTTTGCCAAAAAAGCGGAAATAAAATAGGAGAAATATCTATCTGCTCTTACTCGGATAAACTCCGAGTACACATAGCGGGTTTCGCTTCCTGCGTTCGTAATAAATCAAGAAAACTCCATTTAAAGGGGAGGAAATGGAAGAGAAGGGTCGGTACGTGTACACAATCGTGTAATAGTATTATTTTATTTCCCTTTTTCGACTATCGATATGCCCGCCGAGCGAAATAATTGAATTGTAGCGCTAATTGCGCTTACGCAATCGAATTTCGCGAAAAAACATCGATTAACGCAATTTTATAGGGACATTTTATCGATGCAGAATAAAAAGGTGTAATTAATTAAATGGAAGACCGATTGAAAACGCTTCACATTTCGAGGCTCATATCTGGTTTAAACATTTCATTAGAAATAAAATTCGTCATTTCGTTAATTTTTAAGATTAATGGAAATATTGTTGAAAATATTCTCTAACATTTTCTCTAACATCCTTCTAATTATTCCACTATTATATAATATAATTATACAATATAATTTTTAAGATTAATGGAAATATTGTTGAAAATATTCTCGATTTTCTCTAATATCCTTCTAATTATTCCAATATTTTTAAATCAAGTAAAATCGAAGTAAAATGCGCGAAAACACGTATGCGAAAGGGGGTGTCTTCCTTTGTTTTTTTTTTTGATGCAAGTGGACAAAAAAAAATTCGAGAAAGAAACAGAATTAAATTATTAAAGGAAAATTTTAATTCGAGAAAGGATATCCCGTGCTTGATTTCAAGTTGCAAAGAAAATAATGTTCGTCACGATGACAAAAGATGCAGTTTCGCCCCGGTATATTTTTGTGATAATGATATCAACCATAATTTAACCAGTATGCACGGTGAGCATGAAGTAACATCAGCAAAAATAATAACGGTGTTCCCTACTGCTAGAATATGAAACCATTTCCCTGCGTAATTTTTATTTTCTCTACCCGTGCAAAATATTCCATGCCATCTCCGACTCTTTTCATCTTTTTTTTTCATCCTTCCATATCGCGGGAAAACTTTTTGATCCTGCGTTTTAAAATTCATTAGCGTCGGTCGGTCAAAAAGTAAACGTGTAATTTTTGTAATTTCATTCATTGTATGAAAAAGCGTGTAAAAGAGAGAGAAAGAGAGAGAGAGAGAGCAATGCAATGCAAAAACGTATTATATTAATTTCTCGATGGATAGGACGAAGTCAAAAATGGACGGCGCATGTTCTTTCAAACAGTCGTAATTCATTGGCTGAAGCGGCCGTTTATTTAAAACTTTCCGTTCTCTGTCTTTGATCTGTCGATGAGATTCGACTGAAAACTAAGGAATAAAATTATTAAAAGTAACGAATGAAATTGATCATTTCTGTGAAAATTTTTTAATCTCGAATCTGCGAAATTGCTTGAAACGGACTATTACTCTTTTTCATCGTTTAATTTCATCGAAATAAATATTCGCGTCTCTTTGATTATAAACCTTTTAAATTAACTTTGTAATCACGTTTCTTTTACGCTTCATTAACTTCTACAAAAGAACTGATCTCTGTTTCTCTCTTTCATTGTTTACTTGAAAATTACATGGATACAGAAATTTATATTAATTTTTGTTCCACGGATAACAACTACTGCAAAATAGATTATTTTAATAAGAAAAAAATACTGTGTATTTTTATTCCAAGCCCTCTTATAAATCTATAAAGAAAAATATTACACAAGTTAAAAATCCAATTAAGAAACTTCAAATTTATTACGTTTCTTAATAAGTATTCATTGAATCCATCGAAAGAAAAATCACGCCAAAGGATAATTCACAACACGTGTTATCTCAAACTAGTACATCGACAAATCATTTGTCGATAGATATAATTTCAATATCAAGAAAGCCGCGATTATAAAATACATTCGGGGATAAAAAGAAAAGAAAAAAAAGAATTTCGCGAAATTGCCCGTCTGCGTGAAACGTATGCAACTTTTTCAGAACATTTCCATAATTTAAAACGGAAAGTTAAATTACCTTAGCACAGACTGAGCAAACAGCCGGCATAATTTAGCCATTCGTTACCTTTCTAAGCAAAAAACAGACGCGATATTCGTAATTACCGTGCAGTAATTTGGCGCTTTTCGCGAAGAATGCAAGATCATCTGGCTCATTTTTGGTTTTCAGATGCGTGAACAAACAATAGGAACGCGAGTAATACTCTAAACGGGCGATTTGCCACTACGAATCGACAGTTTGCGAGCTAATCTGTCGAATAAACGCCAGCGCGCGTAATGCGCTTGTCCGGGTAACCATCGTGCGAAAGATAACGCGTACACGCTAAAACAGGATCGTTTTAATTTTATCAAACGAGCGATAACCGCAAATTCCACCGCGAAATCGCGCAAAAACAAATTTTCATGTCGCGCCCCCTCGTCCCATTTATTGCTAATCCCACCGAATTGGCAATTCATCATTCCTTCCTTTATATGGATAAAAACATTCTCTCTCTTCTTCACGCTGATTTTCACCGCAAATCATCCGTGCGTTATTGAATCTCGTGTATTTAGCGTTTATTAGATACCATAATTCTGTAAATTTATCGTCAATTATGTGTACGAAACGTCATTCAATCGAAGCTTCGATTTATCGTATTTTAATTTATGGCGATACAATTGGAAATTTGCGATTTAATCAAGACTGATTCAACCCTAAAGTAAACTTAATAAATCATGACGTACGGTATTTTAATGTGTAGGAGAATGAAATATAGAACTAAGTATAATTGATCGTGTATGCATTATCGTACGCCGTGTTTGACAGAAAACGAACGACCATTATCCAAACCAATCATTATACTAATCGATCATTTGTAATAACTCGTGTAACATTAAAGCACCGATGCCAATCTAGCCGCAAATAAAGAGACAACAGTTGTTTACCTCGATCGCGCATGCAAAACTCCAAAGTGAAACGTTTCGACGAGGAGAACGTCATTTGTATGATTGAACGCACTACATATTGTCGAGAAGTACCCGCGCGATATGTAGGTTGATCTGTTAATAGTATTAATCAGATATACGAGTTCACGTTCAGTAAAAGCGGCACGACACGAGCAATCAATTTTAACAATGCCGTGTTAAATAATATATTGCAAAAATTACGTATAGTATCGATAGCATGCCATGGAAAATGGGGCTGATTCGCTATCCAAGTTGCTATGCAAAGAAACTTTCAATAAAGTTCACGAGCAGTTTGCACTTTTATCCTTTATCTTTACTTTAAATTTGGAATATCAACCGGAAAACATTGAAAAACTCGATCGAATCGTCGATGCAATCGAAGCGAAAAGAAATTGGCAATGAATGTTTCCCCATCGATTCACTGGCATGGAACTTTATTGAAGAGAAAAATGCGGTAGTTCGTCTTACCTATTGCCGTTGCTATGCCGTTTTCATCTCTCCGTCGTAGGTACGTCACAGGTTGAAAAGGCTGCTCACTTTTTTCCCATTTTTTTTCTCACTTATCCTTCTACGATTATGTCCTCTTTCCGCACGCAACACAATTTCTCACTCGCGAAAAAACGTTTAACGAAAATCTGATCGAACTCTCTTGTTAAGCCGCCGCACACGCGAATTCAACCACAGAAAACACATCGATACTGTTTTTTCTTCTATCCTTTCCACGATCGATATATCGAATCGTTCGAACGGAAAACACTCCCGTCAATTCTATTGTCGCACGATGCCCATTGATTTTTTATAGGTTATATTATTACCTTCTTCGCACTTTGGCCGTGTCACAATCTTGCTTGTTCACCTTCTTCTGCCGTTGTCTTTACCCCTCGTTAATTAATTTTAGACACAAGCACGACAATGAGGAATCTCAGGGGTATTTTAATTAAAACTGAAAACTGAACAGCGCACTTGACCTTTCTCACGAGAAATTTAATTGAAACTCTTTCGATAACGACCCATGACGGTTACGCGTACATGCGTCGATTAACTGTACACTCGTGTTTCGCATATTCGACGTTCTTTCACGAACATTTCAACTTTCGATCCTATCGATAGATCGATTGCAGCGCACCTTCGATTCTCGATCGCACACAACGCTACGGTGGATATAACGCGAAACAAAAATTCAAATCTTTCTCCTCGATCAAATATTGCTGGTGAATATGCGTTCTAATAATTATTTCCACATAATAACATTTTCCAACAGTGTTATAGATGTCAACAAACGTATCACTTAACCTTCCAAGTTTCAATATAAGATTTATTTTTAACACTGTGCTCTTTTTTGTGACACTCGAGAGGATACGTCCTTCAATCGTATATATTTTATTTTTATGAAGACACGAAACTTATGTACACAGAATCTAAGCGAATTAACACGAACACTTGCACATGAAATTCAACGAACGTGTCAATCGCGAATAAAAAACGTTCGAAACTAGAGATTAAACGATCCTTTCCCACTACGTATCGCGAATCACCGATCACGTGATTAGTGTCATTTCACGTTAAATACGCGTTTACTATCGATTATTTATCACGAGAAAACCATTACGATTTCGAAACAAGTGATTCTTACGAATAATTCTTACGCGCGTGTATACGTGTACGTACGTGTACGTGATGATTACGAAATAAGATCCGACCGTGTCGCGATACGACAGCAAACTGACGTCCTGACGGGTTGCAGCGCCCCAACGACGGTCGTCCGGTGAACCATCCACCACCGTTTCACCGCAGGAGACCCGCCACCCCCTCACCTTACTATCCCTTCCATCCATGCCCCACTACCTGAAGCTTCTAATCGCAGGCTGTTGTACCATGCACGTGAGAGTTTCGAAGCTTCTTTTTTTTTTTTGGATCACGTTCTTCGTAAGATTTAAATCAAAAGCGTGCAAAGACGAAGGATACAGTAAGTACTATTAATTTTTTCTTTCTCTTGATAATATTTCTAAGATTAATAATATTAAGAAAATTTATTTGAAATTTTACGTTTCTATGAATCTATTATTTGAATTATAACATGTTTATGAATAATAAACAAATGCAAAATAAATGCAAAATAAATACGTTTGATACTCGATATTAGCAATTATATTAAGATCAAATGTGATATTTTTATAAATACTGATTTTATATGATATATATGATATTTAAATTGTTTGATTTTATATTTTTATAGGTTATAATATTTAAATTAGTTGAACGATTAAAAAAACCTTATTTGAATGCTATATTTTATCATATATCTTTTTTTTTTAATCTCTTAATTGATTTAAAATTTATAAATTTATAAAATTTCTCTTTTTCTCTTCTGATTTATCAATGAAATTAGAATAAAATTACATTCTTATATTTTTGTTATATATTAATCTACTTGAAAATAAAAATTTCAACAAATTACATGGAAACTATGCTTTATATATGAGAATAAATTATTGATTGCGCATAATATAATATAAAAAAAACAAATTTATTTTCTCATTTTATATCGAAATGTCAAAACCAATTTACGAAAAATTTTTATAACATCACCGTGTCATATGAACCTCGAATATCGAGATATATTTTCCTAAAATATTTTTAGTTATTGAATAATTTCCATTTTGAACCTGGTTATTTGCGGAATTATCGTATTGATACTATAATATATATATATATATAACTAAAACAAAATTACATTATTTTGATCTATTTTAAATTGCGGATTTACATATTCGGAATTCAAATTATAACTATTATTGTAATTTTGTTATTCAGAATGATGACGATTAAAGATAAAAAAGCTAATTCAAAATGAAAAAGACAATATATACAATTTTTTAATCAATGCAATTTAAATCATTCCCTATAATTATAATAGAATAAAATTAGAATAAGATGTTATATTTTCATTTATACTTACAATCATTCTTGTGATTTCTTTGAAACAAGCATTATCACCTTATTTTTAAATTCACTTTAAATTACATTTATTAATCTCAAAGTAATATAAATAGATTATTTACAAGTTTTAGACTTTCTAATATTTATTGATCAATAAATTTTACTGTTTTTGTTTTTTTTCTTTGAAAGAAATTTATCTAATTGTATATAAATAATTTTCAACACTTGGTTTTCTCAAAAAATATATTTCTACGTGCACTGTAATTTAATGGTGTTAAAGTAATATTGCGTTACGTGAATGAATTAATTGCATAAATTAAAATCTGTACGATACAGGATGTAACCTCGCGAAAAGCAAGACTGAACACCTGTGTCATGGTCTAATTTCCAATTAAGACGTTATTAATACCGAGGTCGGAACAAAACGATCGTTATATCTCTTGAATTATATTATAATTTACGTTTGAATCTATTCGCGTGTAGAAAGTTTGTTATAAACGGAGCATACATTCCAAATAGTGAAAAATATAAATATCCCAGTAATTTCGTTTCTCGACGCATAAATATGTTTAAAAAAGAATTCCTTCCATTTGATTAAAAATTTTATATGAATGATTTTGGGAAGAAACTAACATTTTAACATTAAAAGATTTTAAAAAATAAGAACATTATTATATAACAACAAACACAAAATCTCTAAAATTTTTAATTTGTTCTAAGAATTTGAATATTTACGTTGATCATAATTTTAATGAAAATGGAATCAAAACTATTCTTAATAAGAAATATTATTTGTTAAAAAAAAAGAATAAAAAGTGAATTATTTTAAAAAAAAATTTCGAAAAATTCGTAAAATCATCGAGAATAATTTTTTAATTGATTAAATTAATAAAATAATAAGTAAACATTATTAATAATCTGAGAATAACTCTTTCCACATACTAAAAATAGATAAAAATAAACTAAAATTTTATATTTTGTTCTCATCTATGAAATAATCTCTATCAATATTAATAATAATTTTACGTTGATAACTTTAAACTAATGTATTCTTGAATTTCAAAATTCAATATTTACATTCAATGTATGAAAAAACTCGCACATTCATATCGAATGTGTTTCTAAAAATCGATTTTACGTCGAAAAGATTGATTGTAGGATTTGGCATTTTTTTGTTCCCCTTGGTACTATAAGCTCCTAAAGTCTTGGGCTTTTTTTTTTTTGATATCCTGTACGTACACAACGATAAATCACGAATAACGGCCATTTTATCATTGAATATGAAGCAATTCGATCGCAGCATCCGATATTTGAGCGGTCGGTTGGAACCAAGGAGCGATGCACTACTTTCTGAAATTACTCATCACCAACTTGTTTCATCAAGTTTCCATGAAAAACTTGAGGAAAGAGAGGGAAAAAAAAGAAAAAAGTTATCGATGGACGATGTTTACTTAACAAGCGCGAAATTCATGGACACGAACGGTTTATTCCGTTACCCTTGGGAGGGTTGAAAGGTGGATGGAACAGAGGGTAGGTCGTTTCACACAGCAGCGCCTCGCTTAATTACTAGTTACTAGTAACAGGAGTTAGGAACGTTTAGCTCACAGTTCACGCTATCCAACAAAAGCTTATATCGTTATACGACGAACTATTCCCATTGCTAGCTTAGATTCAACAGCGAGGCTTCACCGTACCGAGATTCCTATTACTTCGAAATCATATCACCTGGTGAAACCACCTTCGAGTTAGTAGTTTCCGAACTGTAGCTAGCTTAGTTTACAACATAATTATCCCTGGCGCTAACTTTCAGGTACGAATTAACAAAATATATTGATGCAGGTACATTATTATGTAGAACCCGTCGCTACGCGTCTCGAGCATGCGAGCATGGCAATGAAACATTGCTCCCAAATATCGTCGCGATATCGTGTTAACTAAAGAGAAACAGATGGCTAATATTAATTTGAAAACTTGCGTCTTCTCATTTCTTCCAAACGATCTTAATAAAACTTTTGTTATAGAATTTAAAGTTCACTGAAATTTTATATGTAATTTCATTATTGAATTCATAGTTGATAGATATTTGTTTCTCTTCGATACACGTACTCCAAATGTTTTGTAATCAGATATGCGCAATCACTATATAATCAAATATATTCATTCAGCTAAACCCGTATATTTTATTTATTGTTTTCCACTGCCCAACAACTTTTCCACGTGCAATGATCGTTATCCTAAGCAATAAGGATACAGAAAAAGATTTCTTTCTTCGAAAATGCGACCTCGATTTACCAAAATACCCAATATTCCCTATATTCGAACGAGTTTGCTCCTAGTGCTCGTTGCACGCGAGATATCGATCTCGTTTCCCGTTGACCGTAAATCCAAAGAACGAGAAAAATCACACTATCGACATACAGTGTCGAAGTCGATCGTACGTATCTTCTATCCGATTTTCCTCGAATCAGCGCTCGATAAATACAAATACAAATACAAATAAGTTTAAATTCAAGTTTTACGAAGATCATCTAGGAGAAGCGTTTCTACATGGGTTTAAACCCGATGTCGTCTCGGATCGAAGGGATACGTTCCAACAGCTGTTGAGAGATAGGCGAAAAAAATGAGATATTCGGCAAGTAACAGCGGCAATTTAGCCCGAGTACATCCCTTGTCGCCTTTAGCAAGGCTTCCAGGTCCCGTGCTACTGTAATACTGAACACAGTTTCCTCGGTAGGGCTGTATCCACACGCCTACGCGGCCCATGTAGATCGACCAGGGAATGACGATACTGACCTACACCGGGCCGGTTAGAGTTGGCCGGCATCCGTTAGCCGTGGACTATACACACGTAGATTGGATCGGACATTGCACACCGTCAGCTCAGTTTCTGAACAAGGAAACTGCGTCCACTGTGCTGTCCAATAGGATACGGACTAACGCGACCACCCGAACATTCGGGTTATCGAGTTGTAATGTACAGTACGAAAGGCAATCTAGATTTCTCACTGACAAGATCGGCCCTGGAATTTCTGTCAATTTCGACGCCTCGGGCCGCGCGCCGATTAATGGGGAATAAACGATAAAATTTCAGAACAGATTTTAATATTATAAATACAATTTAATATTTTAGAATTTAATGTTTTAACAGTTTTATTAAAATATTTATTTATTTTTTATTTATTTGTTTGATTGATTTATTTATTTTATATTTATTTATTTTTGACTGCAGAGGGATTTAAAAATAGGGGAGAAGGGGGTAGAAGAAGATGACAATTTGATATGATCATCTTTTGAAAATTTATATCTACTTATTACGTTCAATATAGGAATTAATGTTAGTTAAATGTAGGAATTCGTGTTCGTTTGCAATTAAATTACGCGATCCATTAACAGATAAGCGCGAAGAAA